TAGATGAGGTGATTCAGTCCTCAGCTGGTGTGGCTGGGTGATTTCTATCATCTTTTATATAGTAAAATATACAGCGTGTCCATGACTAATTGACAAGGGAACCCTGTTAAAAAAAATGGTTTTTTGAATTAGACACTTTAAAGAGAATTTCGAACCATACACAGATGTTGGGTTACTGAATGTACAGGAAACATTTTCTTTTTTCACTTGGAAAAGTTTTGATGTCAAAACATGGTGCTTCTCATTCTACTTTCATTTTTTTTCATGCTATTTTGAATAGAACCGATTGTAAATTCTTAGTGGTAGTTTGTATTTGTTTTGTCGGTTTGTTTTTCACAAATGCCATGTTCAAACAAAAGCACACATGCCATTTTTGTGAACAGCCAAAAACTATTTTCTGAGCAGCTAATAACAGAGATGATGAGGTCAGTAGTCAAGGTCCAAGCCTCTGAATGATACAAACTCAGAAACTTTTAATCTCACTTTTTCACTATTAAGATCAGATAAAGTCCAAATTGCTAGAGTCTCTGTGCTGTAGAACATGATCTGTCATTCAGGCATCATGTTCCAGGAGGGACAAGCACAGTTAATTTTTGTGAAGGCGATTTGTCTGTTTGTACTGTTCTAAATCAGGATTTTCATTACTGGCTTGGGAATATAACACCTGCCATCGCAGCCTGGCAGCCCTATTCCTTGGTGTTATAAATGCATCTTGTGTGATGGTTCTCCTGTGTGGCCCATGCACACCGTGCAGAGCCATATGCATTGCCACCTTATTGCCTGCTCTCTTTCTGGCTTGGTACAGGTCCTTCAGAGGTGCTGCCCATGGATGGCACATGGCCCGTCACATCCTGAAATTAGTATCCCACTCCCGTGTGCTCCTGTCTGGGAGATGAATTGCCTTGACCCCATCATGGAATCGTAGAATGGTTTGGGTTGGAAGGGACCTTAAAGATCATCTAGTCCAATCCCCTGCAGTGAGCAGGGACACCTTCAGCTAGATAAGGTCACAGCTACACTTTTCCACAGCTTGACTCTGCTTGTTGTGTTGAGGACCCAGAGCTGTGGTCCTCAGGTGCCGTTGTGCCAAACACTAAGATATTCTGTATGTGACACCAAGTTAGTCTTTTCCTCTGCCTAGTGATTTTTCTCCTGCCCTTTCCCATCTCTGGGATTATCTACTTGCTGCAGAACATGTTCTGGGTGCCAAGGAGTAATGACAGGCAGCCCAGGGGTGGCATGTCCCTCTGGATACCAATGCGAGGGCTCTGGGACATACCCTGAGGTGCAGGAAGCAATCTGAAGGAGTGCTGCAGCAGCCTTGTGTATCTGCCTGCCCTGCCATGACTGGAGGGCTGAAGGTGCTACTGGTGTGCCCACAGCACTCCAGTGATGGATACCATTTGCAGAACATAATTTATTAGTATTTTTTTTTCCTCCCCCCTGAAATACATTAGATTTGCTCCTGCTCCAGTACAGGAACGACTCAGCTGCATGGCCAGGAATAACTCCATCTATGTGGTTGCAAACATTGGGGACAAGAAGTCGTGTAACTCCAGTGATCCCAGCTGCCCCAGTGACGGTCGCTATCAGTACAATACCGACGTCGTCTTTGACCCGGAGGGGAAACTTGTGGCTCGTTACCACAAGGTAAAGTAGGAAGGTAAAGGATCTATTTTTCCACTACTGCCAAAATGTCTCCATTTGACTGGAGAATTAAAATGCCAGTCATTTTCCCGTGGCAGATTTTTGCTTCTTAGTTATAATTTAAAACAGTCTTTCTCTTGCTGTGAAGCATTGATCCCAAATTTGCATTTACTGTCATGTTTCTCAAAATAGACTAGAATGAAAAATGATTGCTCAGGTCCAATTTAGTAGCATATGGTTTTGGTTGACTTCCTCCATTTGTTAACTCCCTGTTACTGGAAATCCTGTTGCTTAAGCAGCTGTAGTTTTCAGTGCCAGGTTTTCACCAGACTACGACTTCACGTTCCGGATTTTTAAATTGTTCATTTGCATCTCTTCTTAGAAGTGTAGTCTGATTTAAGGAAAATAGGCCCTTTGCCATTGTGTGGGTTTTTTTTCTATTTATTTGGTTTTCCTGGTGATGTTTCAGCCCAGTTTTTGCATAATGGGAATTATCTGGACAAAGTCATTGACTTAAGTGGGTGTAAAAAGTGATGAAGACATTGAAACATATGTACCCAGTGAAAGATCTTTCAGTTTTATGTGCCTGCCTGCAGGGTTCATTGAAGTTGTTTTGGGGTCATGTGCCAGATATCACACTGAGTTGGCTAGACTGAAGTCAATTGTTTATTTAATGCACTTTGGGCCCAGTGTTTCACCTAGTTCTTTAGAGATGATGTCAAGATATTTATTTGTGAGCAAATTGGGTAAGTGGGACATCAATAATATGAGTCTGGTCCTCTGTGTGCCAGCCTGGCTCAGCACAGGCACTGAATTATGAGGTCAGTAAACTTGAACTTCTTTTCTGGCTCACTGCACATGTTTACTGATCATGTGGAGATTAAAGACTCTTGTAGTAAACATGAATGTGAAGGAAGAAGGAAAATGTTGGAAAGCTGAGAATGGTGCAAACTTGGATTTTTCTGTTGGCTGAGATCATCTGCCTTTCCCCCATCACCACAGCCTGTTTTTTCTTCTCTGCTTTGCA